TCTTTTATTTAAACATTAACAAGATAAACTTTTGCCGTTTCCTGGTACATAAAAATATATTGAGCATAAAAAAAAAAAAAAAAAAAAAAAAAAAATATATATATATATATATATACTGGATTATTAGCCCCCTTGTATATTGCCCCCCAATTTCTGTTTAACGGAGAGATTTTTTTAACACATTTCTAAACATAATAGTTTTCATTCATTCATTTTCCTGTCAGCTTAGTCCCTTTATTAATCCGGGGTCGCCACAGCGGAATGAACTGCCAACTTATCCAGCACATTTTTAAGTAGCGGATGCCCTTACAGCCGCAACCCATCTCTGGGAAACATCAACACACACACACACTCATACACCACAAACAATTTAGCCTGCCCAATTCACCTGTACCACATGTTTTCGGACTTAGGGGGAAACCGGAGCACCTGGAGAAAACCCACGCGAACGCAGGGAGAACATACAAACTCCAGACAGAAACACCAACTGAGCCGAGGCTCGAACCAGCGACCTTCTCGCTTTGAGATGACAGCACTATCTACTGCGCCACTGCCTCGCCCCAACATAATAGTTTTAATAACTAATTTCTTTTATCTTTGCCATGCATGATGACAGTCAATAATATTTGACTAGATATTTTTCAAGATACTAGTATTCAGCTTAAAGTGACATTTAAAGACTTAATTAGGTTAATTAGTTTAGATAGACAAGTTAGGGTAATTAGGAGAAAAAAATATTATTGCAAATACTGTAAAAAATTCCTTTTTTTTTTTTTTTTTAGTTAATTTGTATCAGTTGTAAAATACTGAAAAAAAAGAAAAAAAAAATTACAAGGGGGCAAATAATTTTGACTTGTACATGCATTGGACATCCATTGTCATTGGTCAGTTTGCACTGGAGCTTCTAGCATTAGTGCACGGAAGGAAATAATAATAAAATAACCATCTTTATTATTTGCACATTATCCACATTAGGAAAGACTTGAAAACATTGCAAGTATGATTTAAAAAGCACTTTTGAGGAGGCTCTGTTGATTTTTGTAGGGTGCATGAGTCAGTAAAGAGCCAAAAAAAAAAAAAAAACTTGTCAGTTTCAGGTCGAGTTCAGGGTCAAAACAATTTAGACGTTCAGCGATGCGCTGTTATTCTCCGCAAACCATTTACTCCGACCAATACTAGGACTCATAATTCACTCAGAGATTACTGTTAATGGTGTGTATTTAGCAGGAAAGAGAAAGCCCAAATGCGTCATAGTTGATCTCCCGAGAGCATCTAAAATGGCAGCTCGTATTAATGCATCATGCAAGCTTGTATTTATCTGAAGTAAACCGAATAAAGCAATTTATATGCAAGATGTAAAAGTGATGGAACATTAGTAATTGCCGTTTTCTGCAAGTCAAAGCAGTTTGGTGGCGGTCTGCTATTGACCTACAAATTGATGTCAACTGTTGCATTGTTTAGCGTTTGTTACGTGTATGATTGCCTGTCAGACATTAAAATCAGTTCACGCAGAGACGTTGTGCTGATGTTCGCGGGCGTGCATAAAAAAGCATTTATTAAGAACACATTATACATAAATCCAGCCGAGTCAATGCATGCTAAAGATTTGATTGAATTCATTTAAGGCTTTATTTAATAACAAAGAGTGTGTTGAGAATGGATTTTCATCGACTAGCGTGCTGTGTAGGCTCATGCTGGAGTTCTAAAGGCAGTGCATTGGCCTCTTTTTCACTGGATTCAGACCAATTACTGTTGAAGAGCCTCTGTCACCACCGATTAGTGGAGCAACCGATCAGTCGGTGCTTTTTAAGTGACTGGTCGGAGTAATTGAGACCGGTGTCTCCTCTTATGCCCTCTGTAGAGTCCTGGACAGTGTTTGTGGAACAGAACAATGTCAAACGCTTACATCCCACACTTCTTACCGGTTATAAAAGAACTAGAGTGTTAAATCGCTGTGATATTAAAGGCTTGGTGACAGTAATATGGCTAGTTCATCCCAAAATGAGAATTCTGCCATCGTTTCCTTGCCCTCAGGTTGTTTCGAGCATATGAGACTTTTGTACAATTTGATTTCTGTCTCCGCTGAACCCAACACTCTAGACGGATGCTTCAAAATGTTTATAAAGAGATCAAAAACTAAATCTTTATATATTAAGCCAAGGCTGAATTAATCAAATTCTTCAGAAGAGACATGACTGTACTAGTGAGGTTTGTTCTTGTATTTGAGCTTCTGTGTATTTTTGTGATGAAAGTTTTTCCTGTGTGTGAATAACAGTCCAAATACAATCTCCTTGATTAAACCACTAGCTGCATATGGATTTACATTTGATCGCTTGATTAAACATTTGAGACCTTTCGCAAAGTAACTGAAGTCTTTCAGATCTTGAGTCAAAATATCCACGATCATGTTCTGAAGATGAACGATGTTATGGGTTTGGAATAATATTGACCTTATTCTTCACATACGAGTGGGCTCAAATTTTTTTTGGCTTGAGAATTCTGGTTTCATTAACTTCCATTGATTTCTACGCTAAAAACCAGCTTGTGTTGCTTCATGTTGCAAACAGATATTTTCCTATTGTGTTGTTCTACTTTTTATCATGAACTCTCTTAGTAGTTTGACAATTTTGTTTTTTTATTCCTACACTGTAAAACCCAAAAAGTTAAGATAACTCAAATCATTTGTAGAAACAGATTACAACAAACCATTTAGGTAAACCTAATGAGTAATGTGAACATAATCCATTAGAGTAAAAGAAGCAATTTGAGCACAGTAAAATCCAGTAAATAAAGAGAACTCAAACCAACTGAGCCCTGTCAAACCTAATGAGACAACTCAAACCATTTAAGGAATCTGATTTTAACTCAAAACAAACCATTTTATATGAGTACTGTGAACTTACTCTATTTAAGTTGAAGTAATGAGGTATTTAATTAACTCATTACCTTCAACACTGAGTTCAAAATTTTTTTTCAAACGAGTAGAATTAACTTTTGGTCAATTTTGAGTTAACTACACTCATTTCATTTGATAAAGTTGACTGTTGGGTTTTACCGTGTAGTCATTTCTCTCATAGGCAACTGAATCGGAAGTTCTAAAATTGGGAACAGGAATAAAAACAGGAGCGCATTTCCGCATTGCGTAAATGTTGACAATATTTATTTTTTGGGGTCGTCATGAAAAAAAGTTGCTGTACATTTTACTAAATCTAGATGTAGATTACTGTAGATAATTGCAACTCGTAATTATCAAATTTACACACACAGTCTGATTGGCTGACAGCCGTGCGATATTTCCGTTATGACAGGACTCGTACAGCCTCCTCACCCTTGTGTATTACTCCACCCACATAGAGTGACAGCAGCTCAATAAACTCACTACAGTTTGACAAATAATGTTGCTGTTGGATAACATAAAGTTATTTTGAGGCTTTTTTCAGGCAAAAATGTAGTTTAGATTGCAACTATGTTGCTTAATTATAAGGATAGTCATACTGATACAGAGCAGAAAAAGGATGGATGATGTTCTGCTGCAAGATAGCGACAGAGATTGCATAATAAGCCTGTAGAGGAGAAAAACTCTATAAACTCTATAAAAGTATATTTTCAAACTACACCTGATCAAATCATTACTAAACTGGTGACATTCTAAGTCGATCTCTTTTCTTTATGTTGCAGTGCTGTATTTATACCATGTATGTATGTATTTTGTCTTGGCCACTCTTTGTATAACCAATCTGCCTTTTGGTAAGCCACTCTGGTGGGACACTAAGGCACTCGGCCTGTGGTCTTATGTTAATGCACGCCTCCGACCAGTGCCGATATACAGCCATATCGCTACTCATGTGATATTGCTCATATATATGCAGTATTTACAAGTTTTGTTTCCCATATCTGGCAACCCTACATATAGCCAATATATGGCTTTAAAGTAATAAAAAAGCAGGATGAGAGTTGGACTTAATTTTTCAGGAATTGTCACTTGAACATTGTTGTTTCCCATTGGTTGATTTCATGTGATTGACAGGCTGTCGCAACCTTGCTTTAGTATCATCAAAATTTTACAAGGTGAGGGGCAAGTGTTGTATGCACAGATAATTTACAATTATCACTTGTTGGTATCTTTCTAAATAAATAAATAAATAAATATATAATCTTGATAGATAGATAGATAGATGGATAGATAGATAGATAGATAGATAGATAGATAGATAGATAGATAGATAGATAGATGGATAGATGGATACTTCCAACAAAAATGGAGTAATGAGAAGTGGGCGGGGCTTTCTTTTTTGCACATCATTATCTTGTAGCAAACTAATGGTAAGAGGGGCGTGGCTAAGAATATTGTGGCTGAAGCAGTCAAACTGACATCAACAGAGAAGAACTGCCACTAAATGTTTACAGTCGATTTACTTGCACAGATTAATTGTTTACCTAAAGAATAACTATGTGATCTAGCAAATTAAACACTGTCAATTTTGATTTCACTCTGACTGTTAGAAGATCATTGTTTACTCATCTTTATATAATTCTAAAACTGTTTGATGGTCTTTAATCAATAATAATAAAAAAAAACTTTCATTTGAGTTTGTCCAACCAATGAAAGTCAATTGAGTCCAAGACAATACTGAACTTTATGAATGTTCCACAGAGGAAAAAGGCCATACAAATTCGGATCAACACAAAATTGAGTAAGCAACATTAGCATTTAAATTTTGGTTTTTAATATTCCTCTGCATGCACATTTGCTCAGCATGCAGTGTTTTTAGAGTCAGGTCAGGGATATTTGGGGGGGCGTTTTAGAAGTCTGTGTGTGTGGAGCAGTACAAAGCTCAGATGAATTGGTATCCACATCAGGCTTCAGACAAAGACAGCAGAAACACCAGCGGCCACACAGGAAGAGGAGAAAAGTGCTGTCTTATATCAATGCATCTGCTATTCTCAAACTGAAGCCTGAATGCATTGGGGATGAATGACTGCAGCACAGAATTCATATGGAAATCTTGGGCTTTTTATTTTGTTGTTCTGGCGACAATACAGATACATTATTACCAAGGTTTTCCAGTATATCCACTCTACAGTGGCAGGGGCTCGTATTATGAATGAATGCACTTCAAACATATACACGAAAACCTCTTGAATTAAAAGCCCATTTCCCAGCTGGAAATTAATTTTCTTTTCCATTCACATCCATACATTCGTTGTGAGATATGCACTCAACCGCAAAATAGTGCAGGGCAAATCTTAGCATGGTTCAGCATCTGAAAACAGTCATTGAAAAAAAAAAAGATGCTGCAGCTGATGATGAATTTAACCTCTCTCCTCATGCGGTGTGTGATGTGCTCTCTGCTGGTATTGATTCGTAATCTCTGTGAACATCTAAGCAGCCGAAGAGGGACTCTAGAATGTTCAGCACTCTGATCTGGATGGAATCCACTTGTTCAGCTGGACAATACTCATCCAAACTGGATCTGACAAGAACAAATAGAAGTTCAGGAAACACCTTGATACTACTACATACTTTTCTGATTTTATTACAACTGAAAACGTTTATATTGAACCGTATAGAGCATAAAATAAATGCTCACCAAGCACCAAATGTGAGTCATTGAAACAGTATATGAAAAACTGATAATGAAGTGGAAGGTAACAAAAGGTAAATATGATATGCTTTAGTGCAGGGGTGCCCAAACTTTTTCGTATGAAGGGCCAAAAAATAAATGTCATTAAGAGCCGAAGGTAAATATACCAAACTATATTTAATTAATGTTGCCATGGTTATTTTTGTAATTTAGGCCTATTTAACATTTCAAAATAAATAGAAAACATTATTTTAAAGAATATTAACCAATCAGTATAACTTTTTTAATGATAACTTATTGCAATAAAAACAAACAATGACATTTATAACAGTGGAGTTCAGTGCTGAATACACTAGAAAAACAGAATCTGCCTTTGGCTTCATTTGCTCAATAAAGTCTACATTTAAACAAAATCTGACTCATTTACACCATTTAACTGAAACATTTAATTCCAGATAGCTTTAAACAATAAAACTAAGGGTTACATTAAATTTAAATAGACAATAAATAATTAATAATAAATAATTTCTCCAGCTTTGGTCCGCGGGCCGTAATTTGGGCATCTCTAGATTAGCGCAATTATTAATCCTCAAATACTGTATTTATTCTGAAAGGTACAGGAACTGTCATGCTTTCACAGTAAAAGCACATGATGTGTTAAATGTCGCAGTTTAAAGACAATGCTGCATGCTTTGAGTTATTATGTGCATTTAAGTGCACCCGTGATAATATGCTCTAATTCATTAATTTTCTTTTCAGCTTAGTTTCTTTATTAATCAGGGGTCACCACAGTGGAATGAACCACCAACTTATCAACATATGTTTTACGCAGCGGATGCCCTTCCAGCTGCACCAGTGATAATAATGTTTTAAAAATATGCTGGCGGGCGATGCAGTGGCGCAGTAGGTAGTGCTGTCGCCTCACAGCAAGAATGTCGCTTGTTCGAACCTCGGCTCAGTTGCCGTTTCTGTGTGGAGTTTGCATGTTCTCCCTGCCTTCGCGTGGGTTTCCTCCAGGTGCTCCGGTTTCCCCCACAATCCAAAGACATGCGGTACAGGTGAATTGGGTAGGCTAAATTGTCCGTAGTGTATGGGTGTGTGTGTGTCTGAATGCGTGTGTGGATGTTTCCCAGAGATGAGTTGCGGCTGGGAAGGGCATCCGCTGCGTAAAAAACTTGCTGGATAAGTTGCCGGTTCATTCCGCTGGGGCGACCCCGCATTAATAAAGGGACTAAGCCAACAAAAAAATGAATGAATGAATGAAATATGCTGGCAATAAAAAAATGACATTTTTCAGAAGTTAAAACTGGGAAAACCAATTTGTGTATGCATAAAAATAGGTAAATGTATAAATATATAAATCTATAGATGTAAACGAAATATTTAAAATTACTTCAAAAAAATCATTTTCTTAAATTCATTCATTTTTAAGCTGTATAAATGATAATAAAATATCTGTAAAGACATTTTACGGTAATTTAGAAAAAAAAAAAACAAACATCAACTTTCTGCAGGTTTTACAAAGCCAAAATTAAGACTTTAAGTCATTTTTAAGAACATTATGAATCACATTTTAGACTTATACAAGACTAAACAATGCAGAAAAGATATTTACTTGCCCTATCAAAAATAATAAAATCAGTTACTTTCTTAAATACAGGGTTATTCAAAAAGAATACCACAACTTTGAAAATCGAAAACTCTGCAAGGAAGAAAAGGAGAGCAAAGCTCTTTCTGTCGTCGATTTAAGGAAGCTCCGAAGTTTCACATTGAGGAACTAAAAGAAGGAATAACTGCAGCCACCCAAACTGTTGTGCCCGAGATGCTACAGAGAGTGTGGAACGAATTTTATTATCGGGTTGATGTCACTTGAGTTTCTGGAGGAGGTCATACTAAACATCTGTGAACTTGTTTTCTACTGAAAAAAAAAAATTGTAAGTGCTCTTCACATTGATTAATTACAAAAGGTTCCATCATGTTTCTTTGATTACTTACAGATTTTCAAAGTTGTGGTATTCATTTTGAATCACTCTAATTTGAAGAATGTGTCAAAACAAGCAAATGCTAGTTGTATTTTTTTTTTCAACATAAGTTTTCTTTAAAAAAACAACAACAAAAAAACATGCATAATAATTTAAATGTATGCACAACAGTCTATTCAGGTCAGCGTCCTCATTATATATGGTCTATAAATACACAGAGAACTGTTGAATAAATGTTATTGTGAGAAAGATAATTAAACCAAGTCGATAAATAAGAGTTTTGTTAAAATATTTTCTGAGAGGGATCATTGGTAGATGGGTGTTGACCCGAGAGTGTAGCTTTACATGGACAAAGTAAAATTAGGACCTGTTTTAAATTATTTAAGACCTTCAATACAATATTTCAGTGAAGAAGAGTTTTTAAGGCCAAAAGCTTTTTAAGGTCTAAAGTCTTTTTAGGATCCTGATATTAATGGCAAAACCATATATGAATATTTTACATTCTACACCCTTAGCACTCCCAAAATATATCAATCAAAATGGTGCATGCTGGCCCTGGTGATGTGCTGTCTACATTGGGTATTAAAAGACTAGAAAATGAAAAAAACCTTCCCATGTTCCATGAAGGGCTGCGCTTCCCCTTTGCTTCCCCCAGATAAGAGTGTGATTGATGAGGGCGATGTTAAGTCTACTCATTAAAAACCCTGCTAACAGATCACTGAGAAACAAGCCTCACACAACACCATCTGTCTCAACTGCACACATACAAGCATCTGCTTTTGGACCAGCAGTCAGTCTGCAAACACTCATTACATCCTAATTTACAATATTAATGCAGACCAAAATCAAAACAAGAAATCTGAATCTCTAAAATCAGCCAATATTATTAAAGGGACGGTTCGCCATTGTTTATTCACCCTCAAGTAGTTACGACTTCCTGTTTTTCTGTTGAGCACAAAAGATTTTTTGAAGAATGCTGGAAACTGGTAGTCACTGACAAAACAAATGACAATAGAAGTCAACAGCTACCAGGTGCTTATGGCTGTCAAGGCTGTTTATGTTACAAAAACAGCCTGCTGTCACTTTAGGAACATCGCCAGGTGATAAAAAAGGAATATGTTATTCATTTCTGATGCTGAATAGCTAGTTCTTGTGATCATGAATCTGACACTGGATTGTTGTAAGGCTCTATTAGCTGGTAGCCCTACATCTTTAAGAATCAAAGTAAGACCAGAATGCAGCTTTATAGTTAATACCAGGTCCAGAAAATATGATCATCTCACCCACAATTTGATTTTCTCTTTGCTGGCTAACTAAAAATACTACTGTGTACCTGTATTAATAAAGCTTTAAATGGTTTACTTCCTCAATGGGCTATATGCACAGCAATTGCTGTCCATTTCTAGCTCTAGCTTTTGGGTATCCTTCCACAAGTTTCTCACAATAGTTTGAAGGAATTTTGGCCCATTCCCCCTGACAGAACTGACAGTCAGATTTGTTTGCTGTTTTGCCCGCACAAGCTTTTTTAACTCTGCCCACAAATTTTTTATAGGATTGACATCAGGACTTTGTGATGGCCACTCCGAAACATTCACTCTGTTGTCACGAAAGCACATTCTAAATGATTTGGCAGTATGCTTAAGGTCATGGTCTGTTTGGAAGACCCATTTGTGGCCAGGTTTTGATTTTCTGGCTGATGTCTTAAGATGTTGCTTCAGTATTTCTACATAATGTTCTTTCTTCATAATGCCATGTATGCTGTGAAGTGGACCAGGCTCTCCTGCAGCAAAAAAGCCCCACAACATGATGCTGTCGCCCCTATACTTCACAGTTGGGATGGTGTTCCTAGGCTTGTAAGCTTTCCCCTTTATCATCCAAATGTAACACTTGTTGTTATGGCCAAACAGTTCAATCTTAGTTTCATCAGACCACAGGACATGTCACCAAAAATTATTATTTTTCCCAGTGTAATTTAGCAAATTGTAATCTGGTCTTTTTGTGATGTTGATTCTGGCTTGTTGATTTTCCCATGTTGTCACAAAAGGAAGCAGTGTATTTGAGGATTTCCTTAAATACTAATCTACAGTTGTGCCTCCAATTAACTCAAATGTTGTCAATTAGCCAATCAGAAACTTCCAAAACCACACACTATCATCTGAGTTTTTTTCAGAGGCATAATAATCTTATTGTATGTAAACTTGACTTTCAAGAAAAGTTATAACAATTTCTCGAAATATCTCTCTCGTTATGCTGCTATTAAACATAACAAAAAGAAATTTGATAATCCTACCTTACAAAATCGAGAAAAAGTTTAGTCTTATAGAATCAAAAAATATAATTATAGAAGAACATTTATATTATTACATATCTATATTTACATATTTATATACATATTTATATTTTTACAAAAGAGTGAGGTCTAGGTTTAGGCTTGGGGTAGGCAATGATAAAATATGATTAAAAAGTAATTTAATAAATAGTATAAGTACTTTCGTTAACCTCCGGCCACAGCTGTATCCCTTCTAGTACCAACCAAATATAGAATGACAGTACCAGTGAGGACCTCATAATGTACTTACAATAAAGTAAAAAAAAAGAAACATTACATTTTCCCTAACAGAATTTAATCACTGCTTATTATCATGTTCATCTTGCTTGAATACCATCATTACTGTACCTATGTGATGTAAAATCCCATAACTTTACATTTTTGCAAAAAGTACATTACTTCTGATAACCGCTTCTTTTCCTAATTGAAAAGTAGGTCACACTTTACAATAAGGTTCATTAGTTAATGTTAATTAATGCATTTACTAACATGAACAAACAATGAACAATACATTTACTACTGTATTTGTTCATGTTAGTTAACTTTAGTTAATGAAAATACAGTAGTTCATAGTTAGTTCATGTTAACTCATGGTGCATTAACTAATGTTAACAAGCATGGACTTGGATGTCAAAAATGCATTAGTAAATGTTCAATTATGCTTAATAAATGCTGTACATGTGTTGCTCATGATTAGTTCATGCTAGTAAATGCATTAACTAATGAACCTTATTGTAAAGTGTTACCGAAAAGTATAATGCTTTCTTACAGCAAAGTGATGTTATGAAATATGCATCATGAAAAGCGCTATGCAAATAAACTTGAATTGAACTGATTTGAATTTGAACATTCTTCAAAGTATCTTCTTTTGTGTTCAACAGAAGACAGAAACTCCAAAGATTTGAAACAAGCGGAGGGTGAATAAATCATGACAGGTTCATTTCTGGTTGAATGATTCCATTAACCTTGGAGACATAACAAAGCATGAGTGAAAGTTTAAATGATCAGATGTACTTCTGAGAAGAAGCTGCAGAACAGATGTCTATATGTGCTCTAATGACTGATGTACCTTGATATAGTGACTATGGTGGGTTTCGGCAGGGTTTCTAGGAAGAGCTGCACGGCCGTGATCATTTGTTGGATCTCCTCGTCACTGCTGATGTGGTGTGGGAGTTCGGAGTAATCACAGGTCAAGCCTGCTTGATGCACCTAGACTCAACAGCACAGGCACAAATAAATCAGGTGAGACGAGCCTCAGCACTACAAACCCAGAGGGGCAAAATTGCTATCGTTCATGTTCTGTTTGGAGACACTCAGCAGCTTTCAAAAAATACAGTGCGTACGAAAAGTATTCAGAACCCCTTAAAATTTCAATCTTGTTATTTTAAAATCATTTAAGTTCATTTTTTTCCTCATTAATGTACACACAGCTCACCATATTGACAGAAAAGCACAGAATTGTTGACATTTTTGCAGATAGTAAGTTTGGCAAGGAACGGCAAGTTTATTTATAAAGCACATTCCATACACAATGGTAATTCAAAGTGCTTTACATAAACAATATGTCTGTATTAATGAGGAAAAATTACCTAGAATGATTTTAGCAAATGGCTGCAATATAACAGAGTAAAACATTTGAGGGGATCTGAATACTTTCTGTACCCACTACATGCATTTAATTCAGACTTACATTCTAATATAAGTCAATGAGCAGTGTGTGTTATTGTGCATTTTTAGGAAATTAGTTATCTATGGTTTAGTATTTTGATGTTCAACATTAGAGTCGCTTGTGTGTATTTTTTGTGTTTGTGGACACATCAGTGTTTTTAGATATGTGGAGTACAAATTATAGTCTTTATTGTGAAGTAAGGAAAAGGTAAAATAAGAATTCAAGGAAAGATAGGCCTACATAATTATTATAGAAAGCATCAAGTTGCATGTTTGCTATACTGTTGTTTTTTTTACATTTAATTCTTAATGTAAGTAATATGGGTATTAATAACTGTAGATGTTTTCAATAATTAGATTAACATTTCAGACGTTTTCATTAAAACTTATGCAGTAGCTATGATTTCATCAACCATAGGGTTGCTGTTGCTGACATATTCTTTATTAAAATATGGAAAGTACCAAAAAGAAAGGTCTGCATTAAATAATTTATTAAATAAATCACTGTGTGCCTTTGTTAGCCTGCCGCTTACCACATACTGACGAAAACTCACAGCCGAGATGTTTGTTTTTCCTTTTCTCCTGTGCTTTATTTAGTAAATTATTAAGTGCCGACCTTCTTTGGGACTCATTTGAAGTAAATTGGTCATAGCATAAAACTTATCTGGTAGTGTGGTGATTTACGTTTGGTTAATTAAAATATGGGGAACTAAATACACTGTATTGTATATAATAAGACTAAAAGTTAAAGAAAAACACTTTTAGGTTTGTATATGCCTAAGATTAATACTAAAGAAAATACTGATGATAATTACTACATTTCTTAAATAATACCAACACCAGATTATTTAGAGCAGGGGTGCCCAAACATTCTTAAAAGAAGGGCCAAAAACTAAATATTATTGAGAGCTGTGGGTCGAAGATAAATACCAAACTATTTTACATTAAAGTTGCCATGGGTAATTTTCTTCATAATACTTTAAAATAAATAGAAAGGGTTACTATCAATTTTATTATCTAATACAGTACAATTTTATCTAATGCAGTACATTTTTTTCCAGCATAGTTTTCAATTATAACTTATTGCAAAAACATAAGCAATCACATTTATAACACAGTGGAATTCAATGCTGAATACATTAGTCAAGCAGAATAAGAACTGCCTTAATTCACACACCAAAGTCTCTTCACTGTCCTCTATCAGTCGTGTGACAGTATGCACATTTTAAACTAAATTACAACATTTAAATTAAAACATTTAATTTCAATTAGATTTTTGTAGCTTCACAATAAAACAAGCAAACAAATAAAAGGTTACATAATATTTAAATGACAATATCTAAACCATCCCTATCATCCTCCCTCTTTTCTCAGATGGGATGGCCGGCCAAATCAAAGGTTACCATGGGCCAACTTTGACCTACAGGCCCTAGTTTGGACATCTCTGATTTAGAGTGATATACTGCTGATAACGGATAGTGGTAGTTTTATGTTCTACCTTTTAAATTAGAACACCTTTGTAAAAGAAATACAAATAAAACCTTTATTCCCTCAATTCAACGTTTCATGTGAGTAATTGGGCTCAACCATAAACAAAGACATTACCTAAATCAATATTCTTAGCTTTATAAACTTTGATGATTATGATTTGTTAACTTCAAACTTTAAAGCATGCCTGTTACTAGTTTTATGTTAATAGTTCATAAAATGAACTAATTCCTAAAATTCTAATTTGTTTACATGTAGCAATACACTCCCAACAGATGCTTATTCTCATTTCTTTTAGTGTATTTTTCAACATTGTTCAGTGTCAAATTGGCCCCAAGCTGAAACAACGTGACTAGAATAGATGTGAGGTAAATGTCTGAAAAATGAATGTGTACTCTACTGTAAAAGAGGGATAAAGATTCAATATCAGCTGCCGGCTGAGTTCTGATTATTTCAGAGGAACTTATTAAAAGAATATGAAGGTTAAACAAGAGGTCACTGAAGTTATAGATACTATTTTTCTTCTTCAAATAAAATAAAGAAAAAGACACTATTTGGGATATATGAAATGACATACACTAAAAGCATGATTAAAATATCCACTAAAATATAAAACAAACACACCATTTCATAGTCCGGAGGTGATGGTCGATTCTTAAGACTGTGTACAAGTCCGAAAAGAGATTTCATTCTGCAAAGAAAATGAAAAAAAAAAAAATCAATGCATTAAGCCATGCCATCTTCTGCTTGATCAAATGAACACGGACAATGTACAGTAATAAATCAAGGCCAGTGGTGTACTGATATGAAGCCATAATAATAAAAAAAAAAAAACACAAAACACAGTGTCAGTGACAGCAGTAACGTGTACCCTGGGTTTGCTGCTAAACGTTCAACAGTTTCCTGGCCGTCATCCTCAAGCAGGTCAGCGAACGCAGCCTCCAGGTCTTCAAGCTGACGCGTGCGTCTCTCCACACATTCTAAAAGCTCCTCCTGAAAACCAAACACACATGGATGTGTAAAGACTGTTATTTGCAGGACTCCCACTCTAAGCCAAATGTCAAATTCCCCGGCTTTCTCCTGAAAAGCTGAATTTCCTTGACCCATCCATCTAATTTTCTTCACATAAACGTGGTGTGACCCCTAGTCTAATCACTTGTACTCATTTTGAGCCATACAGCTTGTTATGCTGCTAGATGTTGCAAAGTGCTATTTTCTAATTATTTAATTATCATGTATTGAATTTGAAGCACAGGTAGTTTGGCCATTTGCTGACACTTGTTATTTCTAGCCATTTACCCATAATGCCAAATGAATCGGAAGTCCAAACACATTTGCAAAAAAAAGAGAGCTAACTTTCCACACTGCAAAATAAGGTGAATAATGAGCAGAAAAACAGCAGCTGATGCGATGAGCACTGAGCAGGTACAAAACAATGGAGCATTTTAATAGGTACAGCCTGGTGACTGCATTTGACTTGAGTGAATGCCGGTTGATAAGCAGAAAAAGAATAAATTGTCACTGAAGAAAAATAGACTAACAATAACAACAGGCAAAGAATGTGAGACAATGCAATAAATATTATTTTGATGAATTGAAAGTAAAATGTCAAAACAAAAGTACCTATTATTCCATGACTTGGACAATAATTCCCTGACTTTCAATGTCTGCAATAGACCTTTTTACAATTCCATTTTTTGTTTTGTTTTGTGATCATTGCTCTAAAATAAGTTCTTTTTGAATGTCTGAATAAAAAAATAAATAAAAAAACTTTTTCCCCTATTGAACAAAATACATTTTATTTTAGCAAACATTTATAATATTTTAAAACAGTAAACATGACAGGCTAAATAATTCAAATAAATCACTAATATCTGCTCTCTTCATTAGTTTCAAAAACACTGATTTCTTTACAACACATTAAACAAAACTTTCATATGCCTGGGAAGCGGTATAACAGAACTTTTTTGCGGTTTTAAAACCTTGACTTTTTCAAACCTCGGTAAACCTTAAAATCTGTTATCCCATGTCGACTACTAATATTATTTGTCTTTATTGATCAAATAATATTTATAAATGCATCACGGTTTCTATAAACCAACCAAGCAGCCCATATGTTTACAGCATCAATATGTGACCAGAAGAATAACAATAATGAAGAATGACTACTTAAAAATCAGCTTTATGAGTGCCGGAATTTATTTTTTAAATAAAATAAATATATTAAAAAACTAAACAAAACTGTTACTTAATAAAAAACCTACAGCAAAACATTGGAGGACAATTGGGAGCATTAGAATGTACTTGGGGAAATTAAAAGTTTTAAAGAGAAATGTTTTAATTATTTAAGACATACTGTAGAGCCCAATACTTTAGTGAATTAAAAAGATTTTAAGGCCCTAAATTTAGGTTGTTTTTTCAGACTTTTTAAAATCCCACAGAAATCCTGCAAGTTATGCAGCTCATCTTTAAGCAGAAATTCAAGCTAAATAAAAATGTTGCTTTAGTGCAACACAACAAATTATGAATATGAATATCTTCTTTTTTGAGTGCTTTATCACAAGATGTCCCTTAACAATCACATTTTCAGTCAGTAGCCAAATGCACTTTTTGAAGTGTGTGAAACTGGAAAGGCTCGAAACATTTTAGATCCTTTTTGAAACTGTTTAGTAGGGCTGCACAATGTATTGTTTTAACAGCGATATCACAATGTGTGCATCCACAATAGTCACATAGCAGGATCTGCAGTGTAGAATTGGGATTATATTTGACCAGGAGTCACAGTTCAGAACATGAAGTCATTGGGAATTTTTACCATAATGTAGAAAATGTCTTGTTTTAAGGCCTAAACATATTTTAGTGAAATAATTATACAATGAAGATGCCATGTAGTGTTATTCTATATGTGATTATTCAATTTCTGTACCGCTATTTAAGTCATCTAGTGAAATTGCATTCATATCGCAATATAGAGTTGAGATCAGAATTATTAGCCCCCCTTTGATATATACATATAACTATATATATATATATATATATATATATATATATATATATTTTTTTTTTTTTTCTTTTTTTCTTTTTTTCTTTTTTCCCCCAAATGATGTTTAACAGAGCAAGGAAATTTTTACAGTATGTCTGATAATATTTTTTCTTCTGGAGAAAGTCTTATTTGTTTTATTTCAGCTAGAATAAAAGCAATCTTTAATTTTTTAAAACAATTTTGAGGTCAAAATGATTAACCCCGTTAAGCTATATTTTTTTCGATAGTCTACAGAACAAACCATCATTATGCAATAACTTACCTAATTACCCTAACCTGCTTAGTTAACCTAATTAACCTAGTTAAAACTTTAAATATCACTTTAAGCTGTATAAAAGTGTTTTGAAAAATATCTAGTAAAATATTATTTACTATCATTATGGAAAATTTTAAATAAAGCAGTTATTAGAAATGAGTTATTAAAAGTATTATGTTTAAAAATTTGTTGAAAAAAAAAATCTTTGTTAAACAGAAATTGAGAAAAAAATAAACAGTGCTAATAATTCAGGGGGGCTAATAATTCTGACTTGAACTATATCGCAGAAAAACAAAACATGGCAATGTCCGATTTGTTTTAATATTGTGCAGCCCTACTGTATAGTATTGTTTACTCGTGATCTGATTGTCAAAACTGCATCTTATTAATACTACCTGTAAACAGGCCCATAGTTACCAGAATGTTGTCTGTTGTGGATGAATTAACAGAATGAATTAATAGTACAATTGATTAACAATCTTAATTACCTCATCAGGATCCTGCTGTGGCTTGCTGAAACTGTATAATTCTTTCAGGAGTGTAAACTCTTCCTGTAAAAAAAGCAGAGGAAAACAGACAAATAGATATAGCTTCCATATAAGCTGTGAAGATTTCAATTAAACAAAATAATCAACGTCTTCCATTTTTTTCTATTAGTGTTTTCTATATCAGTAAGTTACAACCTAAGTGTGTCAAATGTATGGAGAAGTAATTCATGTCTGAAGAAACAAAATGGGCTACATTTAACAATGGTTGTGCTGACTCACTCCACCTGCGAGAACATGTCCTTGAAAGGGTTCTTACAGGAGAAAAAGTCCAAGTCAATGTCAAGTATGAAAGGGTCGGTTTGCTCAATGACTGCTAAAAGCTTGTCTGTGATGTAGCTTGTTGACCCATCATCGGCTTTATTCTTGGCTGTCTCGCTGATGTTTCCTGATGCAGCGCTGCCATCAGGCGGTTGAGAAGAGGAAGTGCAAGGGGTGTCTGCTTTTAACTGCATGTCGTCCTGCGTTTGAGCTGCTTTAGGTATTTTAGCACCGCTTTGTCCATTTTCAAGCTTAGTTGTCTGTGAGCTGACGACAGGATCCACTCGAATGACGTGTAAATGTAACTCCTTTGGGTTTTCCAGGTGATCCAGAGGAACGTAAAGAGCGTCACTCAAAAAGTAATCGTCTTTGCTTGTCACCCTGCAAAGTGAGAAGGGATTTCACGAGGGTCCTTAAAACAAAATATTTTTTTTTTTTGTTTTATAAATTTAAGACATGAGCAGTGGAAAAGCAATTTTTGCTTTTGATTCTGATTGTAATGTACTTTAAAAAAAAGCTTCTTCAGAACAATTAGTGTGAAAAGCTCTATACAAATAAACTAGAATTAATTGAAAAAGGCAAAATGTATCTGAATTATAGGTTAAAAAAAGATCTGAATTATTTGGAATAGAGAAAATGCTTTTTTTTTTTGTAATAAAAAGAATAGAATCCTTATCCTGCAATAATGGAGGCTGCAGTATCACAGCCACAGTTCTAAGATCCTAGTTTTTTGTGTGTTTGTGTGTGTGTGTGTGTGTGTGTGTGTGTGTGTGTGTGTGAAAGGGCATAACTAGGGCCAGACAGAATCTGCAGACATGTTTTGCTATTTCTTCGGAGAATTTTGTAAAACAATAATACCTTTTAAACTTTTATTAAATGTTCACAATGCAAATCCAATTAAATTAACTTAATTGGTAAACAAGGCAAGTATCGTATATATCTACTAAAATACAGAACATATTACTTTGCACTGTAAAGTACAAACTGTATTGTGAATAAATCATATGGACATTTTCATGTTTGTCAATAATATTTCTAAATTAATTGAAAAACTGATTAAATATAAACTAACAACCATTCACACACAAGTAAATAAATAGACTCAATAACGGGCTTAAATTCTACAGAAATCTGCAGATTTCTGCGCATGCAGATTCCGTGTGGGCCTAGACATAACCTACTGAGTTGGATGACCAATAACACTAATTTGAATGTAAGAAGTTTTATTTTAAAATGTTATTTGTATAATTCAAAGTAAACATAGTTAAAATTAATATTAATAACTTAATTTTTTTTGTAATAAAATGTATTCCAGGACCATTTTTGGAATTTTTGACCAACCAAGGCCTTATCATTTATTTTATTTAGCTTAAAGCAAGGGTCATTAATCTCAGTCCTAGAGGGCTGGTTTTTCTGCACAGTTTAGCTCCAACTTGATTCAACACACGTGTCTGGATGTTTTAAGTATACCTAGTAGGTCTTGATTAGCTTGTTCAGGTTTGTTTGATTAGGGTGGGAGCTAAAATCTGCAGGACACCGGCCCTCCAGGAACAAGCATTTGACCCCTGGAAAAGCATCTGTTTTACACAGCGGATGCCCTTCCAGCTATACCATATTCATTTTCTTTTCGGCTTAGTCCCTTTATTAATCCGGGGTCGCCACAGCAGAAACGACCTCACATAGAAACGCCAACTGAGCCAAGATTCGAACCAACAACCCAGCGACCTACTTGCTGTGAGGCGACAGCACTACCTACCGCGCCACTGCGTCGCCCCCTCTATTAAATACAAATGAAGATATTTTGAAGAAAGCTAGAAACCTGTAACCATCGACTTCCATAGTATTTACAGTACTTCCCCTACTATGGAAGTCAGTGGTTACAGGTTTTCAGCTTTCTTCAAATAATCTTCTTTTAGTGTTTAACAGAATAAAAAAAAATCTAAAATGTTTGTAACAACTTGAGGGTGAGTAAATGATGAGTAAATTTTCATTTTAGGTTTTTCATTCCTTAAATAATTAAACTGCTTATTTGCCCTGTTTGAGTACCATGGGAGAGATTCTAAAAAAAGAGAAAGCTGTGGTCAAACACGTCTGCTTATCGTGTTTAATTAATTCATTTTCAGCTTAGTCCCTTTGTTAATCTGGGGTTGCCACAGTGCAATGAACAACCAACTTATCCAGCATTTGTTTTTACACTGCCAATGCCCTTACAGCTGCAACCCATCTTTAGGAAACACCCATATAATCTTATTCACACACATACACTACGGACAATATAGCCGGGACTCAATCCAGCAACCTTCCTGCTGTAAGGCAACAATGCTAACCACTAAGCCACCGTGCTACCTCTTATTGTGTTTATATGCAACAATATTTGGGACAGTAGCTCAACATCAGGATATGTAAACGACCCCATGTATGAGTGTTTCTAACAGTACAGTGTTATCTGACAGTGTGGAGATCTCATCCCTATTAAAAGTAAATTAAAGTAGTCATGAGTGAATGTCTGCTGCCATCTCATGGCTACATGCTGCTGTGCGTCTCCTGACCTGATGGTGGTGGTGGATGAATCTTTCCCCACACACATACAGTGCTGTCCTTCTCTGATCTGCTGAGCCCAGTATGGATGCAGCCAGGCTACGTGGGACACGTGTCCAGCATACACCATTGGCATAATCCAATTCTCAATGCTCAGCTCTCTGCAAGAGCAAACAAAAACATGTCAAGTCTCATATTCACTGTTACAACCACTGGTGTGAGCAAATATCAGCAGGCTTTAGTCTCAGCAGCATGAGTTGCCTTTTAAAGTTCCTCAGTCTTTCAAAGACAGAGGAGTATTTATGCAGACTATTAATTTGTTCAGGCTTTGCTTCAGCAACAATGGCACATATTTCAAAACACAGTCCAACAGAGGACCATACAGTTTCTGTTGTGTTTTCTGTCAATAATGTAACAAAAAAAAAAAAAAAAAAAAAAGAACAGATAATTGATAATCTGAGTTATTCCATCATTTTTTAAATCATCCAAAGTTAAAACATCAGTATTCATTCATTTTATTTTTGGCTTAGTCCCTTTATTAATCTGGGGTCGCCACAGGGGAATGAACTGCCAACTTATCCAGCATATGTTTTACACAGCGAATGCCCTTCCTGCTGCAACCCATCACTTGGAAAAACATCAGTATTGTGCTTTTTTTTCAAATTAACACAAGGAGCGAGGGGGAGAGCAGCGGTGAAAGTACATTTTTTCTTAAAAATCTCATTTTAAAAGATGATGTTTTTAGCAGAAATATATATATTTTTTTGCTGTGGTTGCTAACTCACAACAGTGGTCTATCTAAATCAGGTGTTTTTTGTATCAATGCAGAACAACTCCAATATAACTTCACTTTAAACAAAAGTTGCACATAGTTGTTTTTGACCCCATCAGCAGGGATAAAAGTAACACACAAGTGGGTACAAAAATATTAATAAAACTATATTTGCTAAATTTACTGTCTTAATTTTCTTTATTTTAAATACATCTGCTAATAACCTTGTTAATTTTAACTGCAAACATATTTGTCCTATATTTTTGCAAAAACAATTAAGCAGCATTTTCATTTTAAATTTCACTTTCATCAAATGTTTCAAAAGCAACCCACCAATGCAAAATGTTAACATTTTCTATAATATTTTTATTTATTTTTTATTATTATGGGCAATGTGCATTAATCTTATAAAACATATGAGTCAAAACACTGACAACTAATGTGGAATTGAAAAATAAGGCAGGTCTATTAGTAGTGGGACATAAAAAACTGTGTTACTTTTGTCCCCATAGGAACTTCTGTCGATTAAACATGTTTACTTGTGTTACTGCACTAAATAACTTGTAGATTGAACATTTCTGTGACACATGAAAACAAAACTTGTAACAGGGAAAAAGAACCACTTTGATAATTTACTTTTTACACTTAAAACTGAAATTTGAAACTAACACGGCCCTGAAATTACATGATATTTGGCAGTTCCATCAGGAGTTGCATGTTGAATGTGCTGTTATAGCCTAAAAATCAAATGTTGTCTAGTGGTGGGCAAAGCGAGGCTTCGTGAAACACTAAAACAGTCGAAGCAACTGTGTCGAAGCTTCGAAACGTTTCGAAACACCAGTCTACGGTGCGACCTAGTGGTCATTTTATTTGTATTGCACTGAAACAGCTTCAGCAAAGAACAGTTGAGCAGATTGGGGTATTAAAACCCACTTTGTAGCAATGAAGCTACAAGTGGTTTAGTCGAGCGGTTAGAGTTTGTGACTACCATCTGGGTATAGTGGGTCCGAATCCAGGCTGATAAAGTTATTTTGAAAATGCTTTAATACCAGTTGGTAATGCTTTGTTTTTGTATCGTTTTGTTTCGACATTGCTCTGACATCCGAATAAACACCTTGTAAATAAATTTGTATTGTTTTGGTCATAAAAAAGGGTTTTTGCTAGATAAAGTTGTGGCCAGAAGATAACAATATTTATTTATATTATTAATTAAATTTCCCATTGTATTTTATTAACGACTATTCAAAACCTAACCCCATCACTGTACTGTAAAAATATTAATTATTGTTTTACAGTGTTACAAAAATGATGCTAAATTGATGGTGTATCCGCAGCTGTATCCTATCTAGACTTAGACTACACCATAAAACAGTAACATGATTAAAATACATAAAATGTTTGTACTAGTCGGGATTCGAACTCAAAATTAATTTGAATTACAGTTTCCACGTGCACACGCAGGTGTTTCGAAACACTTTAGTCACGTGACCTAGGTGTTTCGGATCATGCTTCGGTGCAGTGTTTCGAAACACTTGCGCTTCGGGATCTCGACACTTTGTCGAAACGTCAATTTCACGTCAGCCATCCCTAATGTTGTTAGGGATCATTCCACAGTGGTGACCCCCTAATAAAGGCACTAAGCCGAAGGAAAATGAATGAATGAAAATTATAACTTGACTGTCAATTTTTACAGCATTAATATATGAAAACAGACATTATATATTGAAAAATTTATATTAATTTGTTAAATTAAAATCACCATTAAACAATCATTATGAAACAACACATTATTTTCAGATATTGGGAAAAACCAGGGACAATTGGTCTTAGTAAAATAAGGACAACTTTTAATGTTTATTATAAATGTCTATACTTGTGTCCAAAGTTGTTGAAATCCTTAAACTCACCTGAGCAGAGTCTCTTTATCATACACTGTATCAGCAGGCATATTCACAGGAATGAGGAGATCAGGGTGCGAGTCCAAATGAACCATTTTAATGCCCTTCATTGGAATATGTCTAGACCCAATGGCACGATATATGTGCTGGACAACCTAAAACAGAAAAAAGGTAACAGTACAATTAAATGGTAATTGTTTACATGTTTAAATAGTGATCTATCATTGAAAGTTCCAGTTTTGTTTTTATTAATTCTTGGCTTTATTCATCATAATTTTTTACTCGTTTTGCCGAATTTGTTGGTAACTTAGTTAGTTCGCGTTAAATCAACATGAACTGAAATGACGTCCTTTGTCTACCTCGTGATGGTCCTCCACAATCCATACGGGCAGTTTAGGATAAACGCGTTTCTGAGGGGGTGCGTTCATATTTTAAAGATTTCTTATGCTTTTCTAAAGCTACGATAGCATTTGACAGATTTATTAATGTTATGATATGCCGCTATAAGAGGTGCACTGTGCGTCTTTGTTTCTCGACCGGGTGGAAACAAGATTAGAATACGTTTTGGATTCCTACGACAGCTAGAGTAATTTGTTTTAACCACAGACTGTAAAAGATTTTAAACAGACTGTAAAGTATTTTATATATTTTTTCCTGAAATCGATGAAATGGGAGTGGATCAACTTGCAAACATTTTCCTTCCACAGAAGAAAGAAACTATTAGGTAAGGGATAGCATAGATGAGGTAATATGGTATGAAATAACAACAATTAGCAATATCAACTTTTTAAACAGAATTCCTTTCTAAAGATGAAACCCTTGCAGTTTTGATCACCTTTTGCAAAAATAAATACATTTTTATTGCCTTAAAATAAAGTTAATGTCTGTTAATGTTTTACCAACATGAACAAATAATGAAAAATACACAAATTGTAGTATTTATTCATCTTTGTTAACGTGAAGGCAAATAATGCTAACATTGTTTATTTTTAGTTCTGTTAGCAAGCATGAATTTGTTTCTTAATATTTATAAATGTGGAACTATGACTAATAAATGCTGTACGCCTACAAGTATTGCTCATTATTTAACATTAACCAATAAAATCTTATTGTAAAATGTGACCACAAAAACAAACATTTATAGCATTTTTAAAATGAACTAAGGCAACATGATTGTTCTCCTAAATGTCGACTGCAATTTTTAAAAAATAATATGTGATTCCCCGCCCCCCACCCCCTGTGATATTATGTGACCCCCACCCCTTCCCCCTACTGGCTGAGGCCCTCCTTTGGGCTGTGACCCGCTGTATTATAAACAACCGCCGTGGGAACCACTGTATTATAAAGTAATACAATCTAAGTCCTTATGTCCTTGAATTAATAGTCTTATTCTTTAAAGATCATATTTTGATTTGTTTTGGTTAAGGTCCGAATGCCGTGTAAAAAATGAAGACAATTTAGCACTTCTATTACTATTCATAGGTATGATATTCCAAATAAAACTTTACTGCCAAAAAAGTAAAGGTCTACAGGTCTTCAGGAGGTCATAAAACTCCTGCAAAGAAGCTATAAGGATCTGCAGACAACTCAAGCTGTGGTTTCTGTCGCTTATCAATATTGCATTGGCAAATTTTACTCCAGAATATGAATTGGCTGTCCATGAGCTGAAGGCTAATAATGGTTATAATCTAAATGTATAGTTCCTTCAGAAAGTTTTCACTTCACTTCATTCAATTTTCACAAACTCTCCTGGCTGTAACTCTAAAATTTAAACCTCTCAGGTATTTTTTCACTTTCTTGCTAACACAGTCATTCAAAATGTAGACTAATAACCCAAAATGCTTACACTTAAGAATGTGCCAAGAAAAATAAGTGTAGGTCTGTTGCTCTTCAACATGACATGAACAGTGAAGAATCCATAAGGATCTGCAGACGACTCTCGCATTGGCATCTGTCAGTTATACTGTACAGTATATCAATATTGCATTGAGAACTTTTACTCCAGAAAAGCAACCTCTATATTCTGTGAGCTGAAGTTTTAAGAGAGGCAAGCTTAAATGTATAGCGTCTTCAGGAATTATTCACTTCACTCACTTGGATTTTCACATATACACTCAAAAAATTATTTTTGCTGCTAGTACTTCTACTACTTTTTAAAAGGAGCTGAATCAACACAATTCTTGAGTTTTTGGGAGCACAACTTAATTATTTCATGTTCAATAAGCTTAAATTTGTGACAACAAATTTTACTCCATTTGTGTTGGGACAAAATGAAGGAATTGTGTGGAACCCTGCATTTTTCACCCATCTTGTTCTGTTAGATTTGTAAATTTGAAACTCCACATGTATTTTTGTTTCTTCAGTAACACATTCATTCATTCATTCATTCATTCATTCATTCATTCATTCATTCATTCATTCATTCATTCTTTTTCTTTTCAGATTAGTCCCTTTTATTAATCTGGGGTCACCACAATGGAATTAACCACCATAACAAAATAATTTAACATAAAAACAAACAAACAACAACAAAAACTTACAGTCAAATATAACCTTGAGTCATGGTCAGTCAATTTGTAAAATCAAGTTCAAGTTTATTTATTTATGAAGCACATTTAAAACAGCCACAAGACTGACCAACATTCTGTACATAAGACAGTTAAATATAGAGACAATTTTAACAACAAGAGAAACAACAGAAACTATTATAATATTTGTATTAAAAAGCCAAACTGAACAGGTATGTTTTTAAGAGTGATTAAACAGAAAGTGATGGTGCCATTATAATGTCATTTAGCCCTTTTCTTTTTTAAATTCATTGCAATTAAATTCGCTTAATGTTGATAACAGTTAATGTTAATAAAATAATTAATATAGATTATAGACAATAGATTATAAAAGCTCCATACTGTGAATGGACTTCTTTATCATTGTCTGTAGATTAAAGGTAATGATGTTCTATTCCTGCAAGGACTGATTGTTTTGCTTCATAAGTCCTCATTAGGAGCCGTGGGTATTTAATATTTTTCCAGTAAAGTTTATTTTTTTTTCCCTCATAGTGATGATGTTGACTTGCATCATGAATCACCAAGGAGCTAAAAAGTCACTTACATCTCGAATGACCTGCAGGTGAGTACTGTAAATACTAAAAGAGCTTTTTTTTTGAGTGAACCATGCCTTTAATTGCCCTTCTTGTCTACTTGCTAATTTCCCAGATGTAGTTTTATTCCTGAAAGTAGGACTGAACTCTTGTCTTGGTTAGTAATCTGTTGTTTTTAGATAGTGGTATTTATAAGCATTTAAACATCAGGATGTTCAAAATAAATCTGGTCGTTATCGTGTTGCATGAATACATATCAATATAATCCAAAACAAATTTTCAGAGTTTTTAAAGTTTGACTACTAAAGAAAATTACTTTTACAGGAGTAAAATAAATCCGATTAACAAATGCTTTAAACAGCAAAAGAAGAAGCAATCAGCGTGGTGTGAATTACATCTGCAGGCAATAAGTAAATCTCAAACTCAATGGATGTGTCAGTGAGCTTTACCTCCACCTATTTGTTATGGCCACTGTGCTGTTAATGAGTTTTGTTATGGGAAATAGACCAATATCTCTGATTAACAAATGCTTGCAAAAATGGTATTTGTTTGCTTAAAATCAATATCAGAATCAATGCATAAAGATTCCAGCTATTCCCCTGTGAATAAGAATTGCACTTAACTCTATTGAATGTGTAGTGTACTTAATACCTTAAAAAGTCTATTTAAAAAAAATACTGGAAGGTAATATATATTCCAAAGCCTCAAATGTACTTAAAGAAAGTCGATTTCTTAATGCGCTGAACTTTTAAAAAGTGCATACATTTTGTATTGTCAATTTGTAAGTTTAACGTTTTAAATCTTTTTGTCATGCTCTAAAGAAGTGCACTCATTTGGATCTGTTGGCTAACTTAATCATTTATAATTTAATCAATAATTTATTAAGTAATGTTGCAATACATATAAAGTTTATATATCGGAAATGCACTAAACTGTAGCTTCATTAAATAAAATGTATTGGTATTTTCATTAGAAAAGACATTGAAAAACACTTTAGTTCACTACAAATGCTTGTCAATTGAGTACATCCAGTATTACACAAATATTTAAAAAAACACTGTATATTTAATTTTAAACACTATGGGCATTATATAAACCTGGCGTAAGACAAGTATGGTGCGTTTTGTTGCTATTTTCAGACCAGCGCAAACCTAATTTCATGTTTTGCACCACATTGTTTAAATAGCAAGTCCATTTGCATCACTTTGGGGTCTCTTGGTGTTCCGGTCTAGAAAGGAGGTGTGTTAAGGCGCATTGTTGGCACATTGCTATTTTAAGAAACTGGCTGTGCCATGGACCAACTAAAAGCTGGTCTAAAGTCCAGCGCAGAGCGGCTTAGTTATGCGCCAATGCAAGTCCAAATGCTTACACATTGCTTAATGCTTTCTACATAAATATAAAAACCACTGCCTCCATGTCTTCTTCAAGCCTCCATGCTTTTTTTTTCCAGTTCATTCATGAAAATTTACATTTTGTATAATGCTAATATTATTAGCAATATTATTTATAATATGCATATTTACTTTTGCTTTAAGAAAAAAACAAGTTTAGATTTGTCATGTCACCTGTCATGTTTTGGAGATGATTGCATCACCATATGAAGCATAAAATAGGACATGTGTTTAGATGAAACAGTTTATTTTATTTAATTTTTTTTTAACATACTTTGTTATTAGTGTTCATTTATTAGTTTGCTATGGATGTCTTCAGTGTAATGTGTACAATACTGTTTCCTTATACACAAAAGCAAAGGAGTAAACTAAAGAGTAAAATTAAACTAAAGAGAAAGTAAAGAGGCCAAATGGAGGAGGCTCATTCTATATCCTCTGTTTTCTTGCTAGTGAAGCATTCAGTTTTACTGACTTATAAAGTCTGCCATGTAAAAAGTAAATGCACCATGGCGTAACGCTGACTCCTAAAGAGAATGGGAGATGAGACTCTAATTGATTTAATGCATGGTTTGCTCTAAATACACCATAACTCATTAAGAGAATAAGAACGATCCCGTTAAACCATGCGCCAGGGCTCAATCTGTATTTTTTCTGCATGCGCTTTAGACTTTGCGCCTAGACATTAAAATATACATATATAGACATAAAGGGCTCTATTTTGACGGTCCATGCGCAAAGCGCAAAACTTAGGGCGCAAATGCTTTCAGGGCATGTCAGGGCGCGTTTTTGCTAATTTAAGGAAGGGAAATCTGCCTTGCGCTTCGGCGCATGGTCTAAAAGTGTTAGGTTTATTTTCTTAATGAGTTATAGGTGTGTTTTAAGAATAAACCAATTACAGTCTCATCTCCCATTCCCTTTAAGAGTCAGCTGCGTCGCGCCAAGAGCGCATTCAGGACGCAAAGTAAGTCTAAGTGGAAAAAATGA